CCCCCCCCCCCTTCTCTGCCCCCGGTTTTTGTGGTGAGCAGCATATAGGCTTTAATAGTGATTTTGCTGTTTTGGTTGACAATTGATGTAGAGCACCTCACTCCTACCTTTTAAAGCTTAAGACAGGCTGAATAGGATTTCAAATCCTTTGAAAAGTACAACAGTTCCCATACATGCATTTTAACTCTGTCTTGAGTGTTAGCTTTTAACAAGGGCAATATTGTACTGGTGCTTTTCTGACAAGTCTGAAATTAACTCAAAGGTGATGGAAAAAAAATAGTCTCAGTCTTGCTGTACTCTATAATATCATCTGGGTGAAATTTCACAGCTCTTATTGTAAAGAACCCTTTATGCATTGGTAAACCTTTCATTCTTCCAAGTTTAAAGAGTGCCACCAATTTCTCCAGGTTTACTCTATGGAGCATTTGTGTATTTATAGAAGGTGATCATATGCCCCCCAAAATCCTCATATCCCTTAAGGGAGAACAAATCCAGGTACTCTTTTATCATAGTTGAGGTCCTCCATGCCATCAGGGTATTGAAAACCCTTTTACATATAGTGGTTTATGAAAATGTGATTTTGTGTATTGTGACCCTTTAACTACTAAGCAGTGGACTGCTTTTCAGAGGGTGGTGGCCCAGCTGCTGCCCGACATTCAGGAAGTGATACAGCCACCTCCCGAATGCAGTTGTTAAAAAATGTTTTGCAGAAATAATGTTTATTGTTTTTTCACACAAACGTAGAAAATAAACAGCATATAAAGCAAATCGACATACAAAGGCAACATCAGAAGGGCAAATTTGGTAATGGTAGCAGAGCTGTAGACTATAACAACCACCTCAGCAATGTACATGACATTATGCCCAGATACAAGCCGTACCTCCGCTCCCAGTCCTGTCCCCGGCTTGGGGATTCCAGACTGCTAAAGCTCTCCCCTGCAATGAGGTCAACGTTATGGAGTCAGGCCCAAATCTGGGTCTCCATCATCAAAGTAATCAAGGAAGGCCCTGCGAGATTCCAGGCACCCTACTCTTCAGGTGTTGTGCCCTACTTAGAGCCGCCTTACAATACGGACAGAACAATCAACACAGAACACCACGAGACAAGTGGACAACAGGGGGGTACAAGACACATAGAACACAGGAGAGAAGGAAAGAAGGGGAGAGAAGGAAGGGGAGGGGGGGTAAAGGATTAGTGCGTGGTCAAGAAGGGTGAATCATGCCTTTATATCAGTGTCTTAAACTCATCCGTTGTCATAAACATCAGCCATGGCCTCCATCTGGACTGGAATGCCTCTGACCTGTCCAGCCGTTCGGCAATCAGTTCCTCGGATCTCATTAGTCGGCACATTTCCGTGGACCCTTCCCCCAGTGTTGGAATCACCTGGGAGTTCCAATGCCTCGGGATCATTGCCCTAGCGGCATTAACAAAGAATCGTAAGAGAGACTTCTTTGCCCGAGAGATGGATCCCGGAAATACCGACAGTATTGCCATCTGAGGTGTGAGATGGAGATCGCTGGCAGACATTCTTGAGTACACGTGTGAGATGGTTCGCCAGAAGGGGACGATCAGAGGGCAGGTTAAAAAATGTTTTAATCCCGATGGGTTTTTGTTTTTTTTTATTAAAAGGAGAACTATGAGGTTAGTGCTTTTCACTCACCTCATAGTTCTAGCCAACCTGTGACAATGAGACTGTCACAGGTCGGCTCAGTAGATCGGGAGGTGAGCGAACACATACCGGCGTTCGCTCACCTCTCGATCCTGTCACGGCTCTCTGCTGGACGGGGTTCACCATTGGTCAGTTTAAAACATGAAGAACAATAAAAGAGAGATTCTGCTTGTTGTTTTGGGATTAATACACTTTATTCTTTTAACATAAGTCCATCTGACTTGGCACTTTACACTCTCACCTCCGAACACTCTGAAGAGTCGATTGCAGCTGGGTAATGGCCACTTTGCACTACTTGTTCTCTGGAAACTCTGCCTCCTTTTCAGATATTCATTTGGAAAGAGAGCAGCAGAAGATTTGCTGAGGTCTGTAATTCAACAGATAGAAAAGCAGGTCACGTTCCCAACTAATGCCACAATAAAATCTGCTTGCATTAAACACATACATTATATATTGGCACAGCATGATGATTCAGCATTGTGCATTATAATAGCAAGAGTGATATTTAACTCGTGTGACAACTCTTAGACCCTCCACTGTATTTACAAACAGCTCTGCAAACAGTAATATTTTCAAACAGCGATCTTCAAGGCAAATTGGAATGATAGTTTAAAGTTCATGTTCAGCCAAAAAATGTTTTTGTAGATTTGGTTAATGTGGGGAGAGATAAGAACCCCTTTCAGGGTTTATCTGCTTTCCAGGGCTCCGTTAGAGAGATTTTCCCTCACTTATTGTCCTGCTGACAATGGTTGGTTTACAAGATAGGAAGTGGGGGAAATTCCCCAGAAGCAACAATCTCGCCTGACCCACCTCCTCTGTGCGGCCAAACTGTGTATTCCTGCCCCCTGGAAGTAACCTCATGCCTTCTAATTTGCCCTTTGGCAGGGGTAGTCAAACTCCAGCCCTTCAGCTATAATGCAATTACAAATGCCATCAGGCATGGCAAAACTTTGAATTCTACAGGCATGACTCCCAGAGGATGATGCACAATTTGTAGTTTCAACACAGCTGGAGGGCCAAAATTTGCCTACCTCCGGCCCCTTGGCATTCAAAAATTAGGAAAAATTTAAAATATGGAGAATCTCACAGCTTACATCAAACACAAGAGAAGTTCCACTTAACATGGTTCTACTGGAGAGAATATACCACCTTCCAATTTTCTAGAATGGTTTTGCTACATGATGAACCCTTGGGGTGCTCGAACTCAATGGGGAGAATTTATAAAAACTGGAGCAGTTCACCGGGGCAACCAATTAGCTTCTCTCTTCAGTTTGTTCAATTAAGTTTTGACAATGAAGGAGAAAAGCTGATTGGCTGCCATGGGCTGCTCCAGTTTTGATAAATTCCCCTATATGAGCTTTAGCTCCCCGAGGGTTCATTATGTAGCAAAATCTTTAAGATTTAAAGTTCAAAACTTTGATAGCCCCATCAAGCTGACAAATAGTGGAAGGTCCTCTTTAAGTTTTTCTACCTGTCTGAAAGCGCACAATTGCGATGATTGTCCTGCAAAGTGGACATGGCGTTTTTGAGGGATTGTCTCTCGCCAGCATTCGTAAACAGGGCTCACAAAATACATGGCGGCACGGATAGCACATGTAAGGGTTGAAATACACATCTAAGCACACAGCACAAGTGTAGCTTTCCTTCTCTGGGATGTCCTCCTCTTCATCCGTTCTTAGATTTGAAATATTGATCTGGAAAATAAAACACGTCGAAGTGATAGATTGCCTTTTGCACACACAGTGATTTCACACGAGCGTCTAATGACTCATAAACCCAAACTGGCATCGGGAGCCAATTTAACACAGAATTAACAGGCATGTCAGAAAGACAAGTGAAAAGCGGTTATTATCCCTTGCCAGCAGTGAAGGGAGCGAGTGGGAAGCACAGGAAAAAAGCAACCATATATCTCCGTGGCCGAATCTCAAAGCTGCCATTAACAAGTGGAAAGAAGGCTTTTCCAAACTGAGAGTAAGCAGATAATGAGTAATTGGTCACAGACATCTGCATAGTGGAAAGCCGAGGACATCGCTAACATGATCCCCTGCATGCAGTCCACAATGATTGATGCTTTACCAGTACTGGCACATTTGTCACAGAGATAATGAGCCGAGTCTACTGTATTTCTAAAAAGGATCAATCACCAGCCTAGTCAAAAAAGGCTCGTCTATGCCCACTCCTTTCACTAAGACGAGCGGCAGTGCCGGTGTGAAATCAGATGGCACAGCGCTGACACAGGCAGGGACATATAGGCAGAGTTTTATGGAAGGAAACTGTCTATGGAGATAATTGGGAAAGCGTTGAGCTAGAAAAGATGCTAGTTGAAAGGAAAGATAATTTAAGGCCAACAAAATTGCTCTAATTTGAAAGAATGCTTACTTGTATTTTAGAGAAGAACTCCAGGAATATTGAAAACTTAACCTTGCAGTGGGGCTAACCAGACACTTCAAGGGTTAAGTGCTCATTATGGCTACGGTAATAAAAAAAAACAGTTTTACTCACTTGATCCTTGAGTAATTGGTCACAGACATCTGCATAGTGGAAAGCCGAGGACACCTCTCTCTCTCCTCATTCGGCCATGGAATGTACCACAGAGTCCTCACATCTAATGCAAGTCAATGGACCTACATTTTATGTACTTTAACCTATTTAGTTGCGCTGGAAAAACTATGTGAAAACACCAGCTGCAACAATGTGTATAAACGTGATCAATGTGAGCAATTATGTTGCGCTTGTTAGTGAGCAATATTCTTACTGTGTCATCTTACTATTTATATTCAAGTGAAAAATAAATAAAAACCTCTCTCTCTCCTCATTCGGCCATGGAATGTACCACAGAGTCCTCACATCTAATGCAAGTCAATGGACCTACATTTTATGTACTTTAACCTATTTAGTTGCGCTGGAAAAACTATGTGAAAACACCAGCTGCAACAATGTGTATAAACGTGATCAATGTGAGATTCACATCTAATGCAAGTCAATGGACCTACATTTGATCTAATGACATCCTCAGTCCCTAGAACGCTGGAACTACGGGGGAAGAGGCTGTGGGGACTGGTGTAGCAGCCCAGTGGAATTGAGGATCAGAAAGACAATGAGCACTCAACGACTGCAATACGGGGGTAGCCCCACTGCAACAATAAGTTTTTAAAAGTCCTGGAGTTCTTCTTTAAGTTGACCAATAGAAGAATAGCAGCTACCCCCTTTTTACATACACTCACTGCTTAGAATTTATAGATTTTAAAAGATGCAAGGAATGATTTACCTTTCTAGCAAAGAAAGCTTCTTCTGTCTCCCAGTCACGTGAGCAAATGGCCAGGCATTGGTCACATGATCTCTGGATCACAATTCAAAAAAGATGCTGATGTTTGTACATCAAACCGTAAGCCTAAGGTACGCAATTCATGGGGTTTGACCTCAAGTGGGGGTGAAGGAAAGTTCAGGGGGGTTGGGCAAATGGGAAAGACTCAGCGTAGTCACAGACCCAGTGCAGCCATTATTACATCATGTGGAGCAGAAAAGCAGAGCCGTGCATGCTTATTATGTAATAATGAGGTGCAGTTGGAGAGTCTTTTCCAACATCATGTGTTGATATAGGTAGGTCTGGGAGGGTAATGGGGTGAAGGGCATGGGAGACACAAGAGGACAGAGCTCTAGTGGCTGGCACTGCTGCTGATGTGCTATTGTACAAAAAGCATAATTGTTACAGCAATTTCTAAACCAAACTGCTTTATGTATATATTAAAAAAAAACCTTTAAATATGTGACTACAACATACAGTAAATTTAGTCCTGTAAAGTATAAGTAAAATGCGGTCGCTGAAGCACTTGCCATAATATATGGCTTATCTCTTAGTTTGCCCTCCACCAGTGATGTCAGGACACATTCTCCACTGCCAGCTGCTCCTGTTCTAGACCAACATCCTCTTTCTTCAGACATTAGGTGCCCAATGATGATGTAACACCTACACATGAGTGCCATAGTTACATTATCCAAGCACTTCATTCTATTCTCTGCATCTTAGAGATCCCTAGAATGTACAGTGCACTACACAGGCCCCACAGACAGTGTATTCCCACACAAAAAAAAAGGAAAGTAGTCTTTGCGGAAGAGACATACAAAGTCTTTTTTTTAACCAAAAAAACATACACCTAGCAATTTTTGTTTTCACTTAAGCTCTAATTTTAAAAATGTCCAGCTGCTTTTAAGGGCCCCACTGCCCAAAGGCCACTAATCTCAGTTTAGATGACCAAATGTCTTGGGGGCTCAAAGCAGCATTTTAAGGGATTAAGGATTCAGGGCTTCCTTTCAGATCTATACATTTTAATTGAGCAGGTGGACAGAAATATGGGGTATAACTTCACTGTATGTCTGCTTTAAAAGGAAACTCTAATGAATTTAGTCGTTATTATTTCAGTTTTTTGTTTTAGTTTATATGCTTACAAACCATTGTATACATGGATTCATCCATTCACTATGGGTTAGCCAAAAAACAGCACAGCGCACTGCTTATTTGGAGGCTCCATTTGTCTCAGTGAAACATCAAACTGAGCCTTCTGATCAGTGATGACAACTCTCTGATGTTGGTTATTATTTAGATGAAGCACTGAGATCTTGAGGAATCCTGAATTAAGTTTTACTTGCTTAGAAGGACATTACATCAGAATACAGCATTATGCAGGAATCATATAGATAGGAAAAATTCTTGTGTGTCATAGATAAGTATGCATATAGAGACAATAACATTGCACTATACTGCCATCTACAGCTGAAAGGACATATTGCAGTCCGTAATACAATCAGTACATATCAGCATATCATCTGACTCACTGGGCTTGTGCTATAGATTTTTATAATCAACAGAGTTCTTTTAGCAAAAAAAAAGGAGCATGCAAAACTATAAATATGTAATATTTCATATTTACCTGAAAAGGGTATTTTTTAAAACAGTATTTTTTCCGTCCCGACCATAAATACAAAAATTCTATGTTCCCTATAAAGAGCAACAGCAAAAACAAGTAGCATAAATCAATGGACTACAATTGACATCCAAGAAACAATGCAACTTACAGCCAAAAAGTCATTGTTTCAAAAATGTTTTAAAAGGTGTGAGCGCCAGAGCTGTCCATCCATCAATACCTAAGGTATGTCACAGATGGTCTAGAACAAGACTGGATATATCATGTGCCCCCGTATTTCTCTAGCTGCATGCTTGTTCCAGGACAATGATAAGTAGTGTAGCAAAGGAAATGATCTCAACCTCAAACACTGATACCTCCCACATTTCTATCCTGACACCCCTACCCCTGTATTGGCCTATCAGTATGATGGACAGCCACACTAGACATTAGCAAGGTGTGACGGAGGCCAGCAACTAAGTGACAAAACAAACAGATCCCAGTGTCCGGAATTTCTGGAGGATCCGCAGTGCTCTTTTTTTAAATGACAGATGTACCGCAATGTTTTCTTACAGCTTCATTTACTTAACAATATAAACATTACACAGTGCTCAGTTTGGCAAAATGATTTGTTTGAAAACATCATGGTATAAACCGGAATTCCCCTTTAATGTGTCAGAATTAATAAACCTTAATCACTGTCATTTGCTCACGGAGGCGCCATCTGTTTACTGAGCAAGAAAGATCTACACATGAAAACTGTAATTATTCTGGTATATTTATTTAGCCCTGGTATATTTTTAGGTTTGCAAAAGACAAAGAAAACAGATAATGTTATGAATGTTCAGCTTGTAGTAGATGAAATACCGGTAATATTATTATAGGCACGGACAGAGTTACCAACCAGTACAGGAAGGGAACTGAGGTGATCAGCACGGAACAAGTATACAGGCAGTGAAGTATTAAAAGCCTCAACTTCTGTTCCCCATGCTTGTTCCAGGTCAATGACTCCTTATAGGTAATATATCCAGTGTCAGGATAACCGCCCTGAAACCTGTATCATTTAAAAGCAATTCAGCCATGGCTGCTGCCATATTTCTATAATGACAAGTATACTTTAATGGGAATGCAGGACCTAGTAACAGGTTCTCTATCATGGCATCCTCACCAGCTGCACATATGTACCTTTCCTTTCCTTTCCACTCCTTTTAGCAACCAAGAGCAAATACAAAGAGCCCATACTTCATGGTATGGTAAACATGTGCCTTACTTGCCTTCCTCCCATGTGATTGTATTAACGATTGACAATTGGCTGCTCAGTGACCCAATGCAGTCAAATGTGGGTGGGCAAAGTGTTCTCAGCCCTGATTTAGCTCCAAATGGTGACCTGGAGCTTACAGAGGGCTTCCCCTCTTTTCTACCAGTGGCCAAATAGCGAAGGGAGGGAGCAAAAGGAGTATAGGCTGCTATTAAAGAGACAGTCTGATTTCCCTGTGCAGAGTAGAGCAACAATAATCCCCTCCCTCTCCCCCCTGCAGCACCTAATTACTTCTTCTTAGCTCTGACGGTCTAGTTGTTCTAGTCAGTGCTTAGGTCAGGTACACATGCTTATATTTTCTTCCTTCAACCTGTGGGCTCAACAAAGAAAATATCAGATTCCTCCATCCACATTGAACAGCATGGATGAACGAATCTTCCGCTGTGAGCTTTGTATTCTGACAACTCAACTTCTGCTGATGGAATGGGGTACCCATGGAACAAATTTCACCTAATTTCTGCTGAATCAGCCAAAA